CAGGAACTTGCAATGGAAGCAACTTGTAAGAGTATTACTGTCCTGAGCTGCAAAGTGGAATTTCCTTTGATTTCCTAGTCACTGTTAGAAGAATACTATTACTGGCAAGAAAGGATATTTTTAGGAAAGTTGTATTAATCCCTCTACCATGGAAACATAAGGCAGCCGGGGATTCTTCCCATAGCTCCTTGAAAGATCGATGGCCCTCTGAACAACATCAGAAGCCCAGATCAGGATCAACCAGAAGCAATGACTCAGCACCGTGCTTTGGGGTCAGTTGCTCTTTGCACGTGTGTCCTCCTTCCTCCAGCCCCATGTTCTGGGTTTGCAGATAGCTTTCTGCACATACCTTTCAGAGAAGCTAGAAGCACTCAGTGCTGTGGTCACTGATAATGAAAGCCTCAGTCAGAAAGGAGACCGGAAAGCCTTCCCTCAATTTGGGCTTGCAAAGAGGAAAAAAAAAAAAAAAGAAAGAAAAACCAAAACACACACACACACCAAACACACTTCTGCTGCTTATTCTAAAGCTTCAGCCACTGCAATTGTTTGCAATTAAAACCAAGACTGCTTTGCAGCCCTTTAAAGTATTACTGCAGTTCACAACAAGGCCTCAGAGTAAGATATGCCGCAAGGCAGCAGAATAGAGAAACGCACTTTATCATCCCCAACAGCCCTGCTTCTCATCCCCTACCTGGAAGGGCTTCCCTCGGAGTCAGCTAGAACATAGGGCCGCACACGAAAGAGCAGGTCCTTGGGCCCGGAGCCGCTGCGGCTTTAACAAGCCCAGCCGTGCTTTGGCCACGGTTTGCCGGGGAGCAGCCGGAGCAGCTGCTTCGCATAACGCACAATGGCACCGACGGGACAGAGCCGCACAACGGCCCCGGGCGCAAGCGGCTCCGGAGAACAGCGGGGAATAAAAGGGGACCCTCCCGGGCCGGCGCCATCAGCTCGGTGCCCGACGACTGTTGACTTTCTTAGGTGGATTTGGAAGCTCAGGCCCAAGGAAGAAAATAAACATGCAGTTTCGAGGAGGACACACACAAGCGTTTTCTCTGCCTGCTGCGAAGGAGGAGATGCTAGCTGTTTACATTGGGTCGCGCTGCCCAAACTCAAGGCCATGAGACGATTTGCTGGTTTCATAGGTAAAAATATTGTTTAAGGACCTAAGTGAGGAGCTAGGCCACGTATAAAATAAACCTGGGGACAAGGCAGATGTAAGCCCCGAATGCTTCACACTCCCTGCAAGTACTAGACATAGCAGACCAGGAACGTGCAGACGACTCGTGCTATCCTGAGCAACCTCCAGCCTCGGAGGGCTCCCCTCTCCTCATCCCTGAAGGGCACCAGCTTTTCTAGCTTTTTCCACTCCCCACCCCCCCCCACCACCACCTCAAGCTTTTCTAGTTGTCAAAGGAGCTGTCAAGCCAAAAGCTCAATGCCAATAAGCTGAGGCAGCACCCAGAAGCGCAACCGTCCCAGTTTTCTCCTGGGACTGGGACACCACAGCTTAAACACAACCAGCCTCAGCTACTCCCCAGATTTTTCTCCAGTCTGGCTCCAGGGCTTACACCATGCACAGTTAGAGGTCCTTCACCACGAGGGTGCTCCACCTGACTCTGCCTTCGGCCTCGCTGCCGACACGGACGCCCCAAGCAGCACCCAGGCACTCTGGCCGCAGCCTCCCAGCGCCTGCCCCCAGCCCACCCGGGAAGGAAGCGTTTCCAACCAAAAATGGGGTGACGCTTGCTGGGTTCAGGCAGACTGACTTCAGATCGAGATATTGCCAAAGGAATGCAGTTCTGCATGTCCTGTTCCCCCCCAAAAAAGCTGAGGTTTGCTTTAGGAGTAGGTATTCACCAACATTACAGGTTAAACAAACAAAGCCATTTAAGGCCTAATCTTTGGCTGGTTCAAACTCGCAGTCAGCTTCCTCAACTTCAGGTCCTATTTACTTGGATTTTTTACTTCAAGGGCGGTAAAGGAATATGATTAATCACTCCTCTTCCTATGTTTTAGCTCACTATTTTTCAGCCTCTTCACTGCATTACAACAGAGGCTTCTCCAAGCCCTGCCATAGGAAAAACGGACGAGCCCTACTCTACTGCAACGGGAAGGTGTGAGCCAGTGCAAACACCAGCAGGGCTACTGAACATAGAGTTCGCAACATTTCTGCTTCACACTCCACGCGGTACATTTAAGATCTAGAGCACAGTTCATTTCCTATCAGTGAAACTCACTCTGCTTCCAAGTCTCTCCTTATCACTTCAGCCTAAAAAACAAACTCTCTCCAAGAGTTCAAACGATGAGCTTCACCACTCTGGGAACGTGGGGTTGGGTTTTCGTGATGGAACATTTTTGTCGGGGGTGGTGGGGAGGGGGAAGTGAACAAGATCTTCTGTCACCTAATGGGACTATGATACAAAACATCACCAACATCCACAAGCTGATAAAAATGGCACACCTTTGCCTTGCTCCCTGCTCTTCCCACCTGGCAGGACGGCCAGAACATGGGGTGGAATGGGACCACGCTACCTGTGGCTCATGAAGAGAAAAGCATCTTTGCAGAAAGCTTTAAAACAATCACACACAAAAAATCCAGAACTTTATACCCCACAGTATCTTCAGTAGCTCTAAGATCCATGACAGACACCTTCAGAATTAGCTTGCAGTGAAGGAACAAGACCATCCTCACAAGATAGATTACCATTCTGGGATTGCGCTGCTCTTCTCCTGCAGGTCTGGGAGAAGTCTATGCAAAAACTGTGCACTAGGCTACGAGCTCTACAGCCTGCCCTGTGTCTTCCCAACCAGCCATGGAGCTGATAAGCAGCAGCAAAGAAATTCCTTGCCCCAATCCAAACAGATGACATCCGTGAATATCTGCCGTAGAGCAAAACACAACTTTTCACATCACTGCTCACAATGTAGAGGTCAGTGGCTCCATTTCCTGAATGGGGAAACCAGCCATGTGTTTCCAAAGCTGCTTGCCTCCACTCTGCAATTTTTGCAGAGGACATCCCCTCTCCTTCCATAAAAAGGGCTACAGGATGCATCTGATCAAACAACCATCAGCTCCATCGCAGTGCAGCCTCCACAGCAAGCTCACGGGAAGAGTCACGCTGCACTTAGAGGGGCCATGCGGTGTTCACACTGCCCATTAGCTCTGGTATGAAATTGTCCTCAAAGAGATGCAGAACAGCTGCAAGCTGGGCACTTGGGGCAGCCCCGCAGGGACATCACGAAGAGCTCAGTGGCCACTGAGGCCAGGACACAGGGCTCCAGCAGGAGGCCAGAAGAGGCACAGCTCTGCTACCGTTTCTGCTCACGGCACACGTCTCCACCAGTAAGCCATCACTCCCCCAGTCCACCCCCAGCTTAACCATGTGAAAGGTTTCCCACGCTCGGGGGCAGCCATGGGACATAATCTATACATAAAACCATGTAGAAGTCACCTTGAGGAACATGCATCAGTCCTGGTGGGATCTCTCAGCTAGGTACAGTAAGCAAATACCAATGACATTTCAAGGAGAAACTCCTATTAGCAAGGTTTCTTTTAAAGGAGCATTGGAAAAAAAAAAAAAGGTACAAAGTTACATTGAAGGCCAAAAGACAGCGAGCCCTGGCTTCTTGCAGAAGTGAGATACACTGTATCAAGACAACAGTTGTTTTCTAAGGCACGGAAGCTCCCCCATATTGCACACCAGAGGGACCGGCAATCACACGGGTGCCATCACCAGACACCAGCCCTTTGGGTGCACAGCTACCCCTGGCACCTTGGACACATAGTACCTTTAAAAAGACAACAATAACCAAAAAAAGAAAAAAGGAGCACTCACTGCTTTAAAAAAAACACACCCTTCTCATCTTTCTACTTTACAAAAAGAGTAGGATTTCCTCCAGAGAGGGTGCAGACCGCAAACACTTGGACAATGCTCCACTTCTTGCAGAGAGGCTCCGCAGCGGCCAGCAGGCTCGAGGCGCTGGCTTGCGGCGCTCGCAAGCGGGCATGCGGCGGG